CCAGGTTCAATTCTGGTCAAGGTCACATGCCTGGGTTGCAGGCTCAATCCCCAATAGGGGGCGTGCAGGAGGCAGCTGGTCAACGATTCTCTCTCATCATTGATGTTTCTCTCTCTTCCTCCCTCTCCATTCCCCTGAAATCAATAAAAATATATTAAAAAAATAACCACATGTAGTTAGTGGCTAGCATGTTGGACCATCCAGCTCTAGGTGTCAGGAAAGGTTGAAAACTACATTACCTCATAAATCCCTGGCAATAAATTCAAAGAATCTGTACTTCAAGAAGTCTGCATAAATGTAACATTTTCCTATTCCTTTACACATTCCAAATCACAGCAAAGGGGGAGCTTATGAACAGTCTTCCATGGGATTGAATAAGGACCACATCCCAATGGAACTGCTACATCTGTATGTCCTTAGGATTCATTCTGCCAGCTCCATTCTAGCAGAAATAACACTGCATAATAATACTGAAGCAGGCACAACATAACTTGGACATTATATGCTGACAACCTTACATCCAGCTTTAACCTTTACACTTACTGGAAAAGAAAACACAAACTCTACTTACCCTTTTCCTGGTGAGGGTCCAATTCAGGTCTTAAATTCCATTACACAATACTAAGGCACCTAGTACAGAGATGGGTATCTAGTAGGAAAGATTGTTATGTAAAAAATAGATCCATCCATCCAACCATTCACCTATCTATCCAACCATCTGTCCACCACCTGCCCATCCACTTATCCACTCATCCACTCATCCATCCATCCATCTTCTCACCCATCTACTTATCATTCCATCTATCCAATTATCTATTTATCCCCAGAATCTATTCACTGACTCCCAAAGAATAGCTTTTCTCTCATTTACCCAAATAATGAGAGCTTAATAGAGAGGAACAAATAAGAAGCAGGTGACTGCATGATGCATATTTAAGAGTATGCTTTCAGATAAATTCCTAAAAATGGAGAAGAATAATAAGAATGAGAAGAAAGAGTATGCATTAATGAACCATAATTTTAATTGATAAATATTTATTGACCATCCATTTAGTACAAGGAACTGTACAAGATATATAAGATATATACAAGATATATAAGAAATCCCTGTCCTCAACATTCTTAATCTACTTGAAAAATTAAAGCAATGATTATATAAGAGGCTAAAAAAAGACAAATTAGTGAAATATTTCAAAACAGCAAGGTGAAAGATGTCACAAGATAATTTATGTCTCAGATAATAAGTCTCACATTTAGAAGAGGGTTAGGAAATCTGGGCTAGAATTGTCCAACTTAGGGCTTTAAGGAGGAGGCTTGAGCCAGATTCCAAATGATAGGCAAAAATGAAAGATTAAAAAACCTCATAAGATTTTAAAACTTGGAGGGATCTTTGAAATAATCTAGCTCAACTCTACTATTTTATGGATAATTCAACTAAGGTCAGAGAGTTAAATGACTTGGTCTGACTCCCTCTTACAGGAAATAGTGGCAGAAAAAGGCCTAAAGTGCAGGGCTATTAATGCCCATTCCAAGCCATAATTTACATGGGATGGGGAGTGGAGTCCTCTATTTAGGAAAGGAGAACACATTCTGGAGAGTGGGTGAGACACAGCATAAGCAAGGAAGCAGAGGCCAGAATTCAGTATAACCACCGTGTATGAGGACATCAGTGTGTATGTAAAGGAAGGAAAGCGTGGAAGGTGAGAGAAGGCAGGAACTAATATGAAGGAGTTTGAGTGCAAATCTGCAATTGGTTGGCCATACGAAAGCCAGAATTCTGGTTTCTGGGACTGCTTTGAAGTCTCTCTTTGACACAATGGCAGCAGTATAAACTTTTCTAGAAAAATGTTACTCTTTTCATATTAACAAAGACTCAAATTCATCTGGAGGACTGCAGAAGGGAGGTTGGGATAAAAGTAATGACATTGCTGGTCAACCTCCAGGGAGCAGGGATGGATGATTATTGCTGTGTCTGTTCACAACTCAGAAGGTCTGATTCAGTAGATTTAGGATGGGGGATAAGAACCTGTACATTTTTAAGCTCCCCAATGACTGTGATGATCATAAGGTTTGGAGGGTCTTCTGGTTCACCCATTTTACCAATCTATCCACTACAGACTACCACTTTAGAAAACTCTTTGACAATATTTACTAAGTATATGACTCTTATGATCTAGCTATTCCACTCCCAGGCATATACTCAAGAGAGATAAACACTGATGTACCTCAAAAGGCATGAATAAGAATATCCAGAGCAGGTTATTATCAACCCCAAACTGGAAACAGCCCAATGCCCATCAACATAAGAACAGATAAATAAATTGAGATATATTCATACAATGGAATACTACATGATGATTAAAAAGAATAAACCACTGCTATGTGCACCAAGATTGATGACTATCACAAACATAATGATAAACATAAGAAGTATGATTCCATTTACATCAGATTAAAGAACTGGCAAAAATAATCTATGATAATTAAACTCAGAATAGTGATTGTCTCTTTATAGGGATGGGTATTACCTGGAAAGGAGCATAAAAGAAACTCCTAGGGTGCTGGGACTGTTCCATATCTTCATCTGGGTGGTGCTTATGTTGTTATATATTGCTAGACATGTGAAAAATATATCGAACTGTACACTTGTTCAGTTTACTGTATGTAAATTATACCTTATTGAGAAAAATAGATATTGTGTATGTGTGGATATATATATTTACCCTGCTAACCTCATGAGGTTGTTATAAAGCTCCAACATCTTTTAAAAATGAAATCAATAGCCCTAGCGGGTTTGGCTCAATGGATAGAACATTGGCCCTCAGACCAAAGGGTCCCGGGATCCATTTAGGTCAAGGGCACATACCTCACCTCAGTTGCAAGCTCAATTCCAGCCCTGGTCAGGTTGTGTTCAGGAGGCAACCAATCGATGTGTGTCTCTTACATCGATGTTTCTTTCTCTGTCTCTCTCCCTCCCTTTTACTCTCTCTAAAAATCAATGGGAAAATATCCTTGGTGAGCATTAACAACAACAACAACAAAAATGAAATCAATAGGTAAGTACTCTCTTATATTATTTAAGTAGCTCAATCCCTCTTCTTGTTGAATTAGGTTAGATGCACTACCTGTGATTCAGATGATCCATCAGCCTTTTTAAGCCTTAGCGAAACACAAAAAGTTAGTTATATGAATGTTCATAGTAATTTCTGGATTTGGGAAGGACGCACAGTAACTAACTATAGACTCACTGCAAACACAATAGAGCTGACAAAGTGTGCAACCCAGCTTTGAAAGCGCTCTTTTGCTGATGGTGAATTTGGTCTGCTTTGAAACTCTGGGGAGGAATTCTGTGCAGCTACATCTTTACATCCCATGCCCTCACTTTCCTCCTTACCCCCCCACCCCCACCCCAAGAAGACAGTAAACATCATCTGTACCACTGCACTCACAACTCGGAAACAAAAATCTCATCTTCCCATCAAGAAAATTCCCCTCATCTTGAGGTGTCCTCGGCCATTGGTAATGAGCCCCAGACCTTCTGCCTGCTCCAAAGTTTGCCTGCCCTGAATCAACACTTGAAACTACCTGTGGTCATTAGCACCTTGTGGCAAATGTTCAGGGTCACAGAAGGCTGGAGGTGAGGAGCGGGAACGGAGAGACCCTGTCCAGCCGGTGCGATGTGCAAACCTCATTTCTGGGCTGTTAGTTTTCAATCTTTGAAAATGCCGTGTGTGCTGAGCAGTGTACTTCAGGCAGCTAAGTATAAACACATGTCTACAAATACTGATAACATTATCTTATTTGTCCATTACTCAAAGCCAGATCACCTGAGGACTATTTGTTCCTCTGCAAAATGAGAATCCAGCACCACATGTATTAAAATGTGGGACATTTTCTTGAGAGCATAAATTTTCAAGAGCTGTTTCTATGCCTTTCCTGGTACACTTTCAAATCCTTAGGTATCTTCAACACTATAACATACAGTTGATTTTAAAATAAAAAGTTCTAGTCTTTGGTTCACTCTACCAATTTTTCTTAATTTGACCATCTGGTCTACGATGTGTCTGGAGTCTATTCATTAGTGTGTCCAGTTTCTAGAGCTCAGAAATACATAAGATACATTCAGCAATTTATGTGAGCATCCTGCAGGTATTTCCTGACTGCTTAATTCAAGCAGGTATTCAAAGAGTATGAACTTTTAAGAATGAATAAATAGAAATTGTTAAGCAGTAGGTTCACACAAGCAATGCAGTTCACAAATATGTATATTTCCCAGAATAAAACATTGTTCTGACTCCCCGCCCCAAACACTCTAAACGCAATGTATATGGAAGTACATCATCAAAGATATTAAAATTCCCCCAAATCTGACTTGAATGGAGCTTTCTCAAGAAAAAAAAAATCCAATAATGCTTCATTTCACTTAAGAGATTGTTAGAAAAAACAGCACACAAGCTGTTCATTTACAGAGAGCCAAATACAAAATCAGCTGTGAGAAAAGTTCAACTGAGGAAAATGAATTTCAAGGAAATGCCACTTATTTTCTCCTGTTGGTCATTTCTGAAAGAATATTTTGCATTAGAAATGCAGTGGGGCTTTTCTAAAGATTTTAAATTGCTTCTAAGAAACATTTGCCTGGGGTTTAAACCCTATTAGTTGTGATCTTTTTTCTTAGTAGTCAATTAATTTTGCAGGGGGGAGAAGTTAGGGAAAAGCCATGCTAAATTGATTTGTGTCCAGAAAATGCACCTCCATTTTATGCTAATTATTTTTCTTTCTTGCCCCCCCCCCTCTTTTGCCATCCATTCCCTTTTCTTTCTTAAACCAACAGGCAAAACTCCAGAAGTAATCCCCAAAACAAAATAACATGCCCGGAAGGGAATCTGAGTTTGAGTAAAACTTCCTTTTCTGCAAACAGCTCTGTCTGTCCCAATGTGGTAGCTCGTTTACTGAGGTATCCACCACCCTCAGAGAGAATGTAACTGTCCTCCTGTACTTACCTGTCTGCGGAGAGAGCCGTGAGTGTGAAGACAGACACCCCCACCGAGGTGAGCTGTATAAAGGGGATCAGTTTGCAGCCAATCCTGCCAAACAGCCATCTGTCAGCCAGGTACCGGCTGGCATCCACGGGAGCACAGGTTACCAGGAGGAGCAGATCTCCCAAAGCCAGACTGGAGATGAAGAGGTTTGGCACATTTCGCATGGACTTCACGGTACAAAAGATCTTGATCAGGGTGATGTTGCCAATGAGGCCTATCAGAATGATGACCCCATAAATTGCAGGGATGACATAGAGGATCCCTGGGTGGAACCAGTCCTCATTCATGGGGAGATCCATACTGTGATTAGAGATGTTGCAGGACATGCTCTGAAGCCAGCAATCATTGAGAGCCATCCTCTAGATTCTCTCCCACCTACAAAGTGTCCTCAGATGCTGTTCCTTAACTTTTGATTTTGCAGTTGGGTGCAGATGAGGACAAAAATCTCTGCTAGGCTCTTTATTTTCTTTAATAAAAATACTCTGAGTACATATAGACTATGGCATCAAAACTCTGTCACTATTTTGATGCTGGTACTGCTCTCATCTTCACATGAACAATGCAATGCAGTTCTAAATTCAGTCCAAAAAGGGATCAGAATTAAACCCAGTCTGTATCAACTCTTTCTACCTCCATTCCAATCTGAGTCTCCCTCGCTGCAGTTAACTAAGAACTTTTGGTCTGCTATTTTCACACGGCATTTCCTGTCTTTCCTGATACTTAGACCCTGAAGGTTTAAAGTGGGTAGAAAAAAACGGCACTGAGAAAGCCTCACATCCTATAGGCAGGATGCCTTGCACGTCACCGGCTTCACTAGCAAACGGCAGCTCTGCTGAGCTGAGGCTCTGAAGAGGAACCGGGGCTACTTATAGACAGAGAATGCCAGCCCCCTGCTGGACACTTCAATCACTGCCCAGTCGCCTACTCTCCACCAGCAGACTGCAGGTCCAAGGCCCACGGGGCTTTAACAGATACCTTTGGCTTCTCACTTAAAATGCAGCACCTTCGGTAGGTATTTAATGTGTTGCTAGCAGTTTGCAACGGCACTGCGAATCTTTCTGATGCTATGCTCACGAATCCAGATGGAACTCACATCTATTTTCTCATCTTTTCCAATACATTAGAATGACATGTTAAATAAGGTTGCTCTAAAATGAGGTCTGTCTCTAAATGAAATGCACACAGATGCACAGGGTGTCTATGTGTGAGCTGTCCCACTCAGCCTTCCCACTGCCTTTTTGAACGGGGATACCAGTGAGGAAAAATAGGCACGGGACTCATGCCTTAAACCTTCAGTAACTGCCTCTGGGAAAAACCAGAAGCAGAACACACACACATGTTCTTTCCTGTGGCTTTGCCAGGCCATCCTCGTTCCCTCTACCAGGAGAAATTAAATCAGGAGCCAGATGTATTCTTAACTCTGAGACCTTTTCCAGAAAAAATGGATCTTTTCTCCTTGGACCTAAAAATGACATGAATTGCCATTTTGATGCAATTATTTACTGAATGCTTGCCACGTTTTATAGCGAATTTCCTCTGAAGTCCTGAGTGAGAAATGTACTGTCAGAATACTGAGGAATTAAGGTGTGGAAAAAATAACAGAGTGGACAGGGTGCCAGGAAAGGCTTTATTGAGGAGGTACTATTAGATTGGAGCTTAGACCTTTAGCCAACAATTTATAAATACATTACAAGGGTGTATCTTCAAGACTTATGTGGAACCAGCTCCATCGCAGGAACATCACAGGAAGCAGTTACTAGCAGATGTTGCCGTTGAAGGTTTGTTTGTTTTTTTCAGGTTCCATAGGAATAAAAGAACTTGCACTTATCACCATGCCAGGGCTCAGCAAGAAAGCCTCCAACTGCGTTGTCATGGAAATTTCCAGTGGGAGGTTACAATACTGAAATGGTCGATATGCTCCTTCCATAAGTCCAAAGGACCTGTGCTCCTCTCAGTCAGAGTAGAGAGTTTGATGTTGCACTCCTGGGGGGGGGGGGGGGGGGCTTT